CTTCATGCCATTTGTTCAACATATTACAAGAACAGACTTCCAAACAACCGAAATGTTTCCTTTCCCCCAAAGTCATGACGAGAGCCATGTAAAAAATGTCATTAAAATTATTCGTCCTCAGCTACAAGATGCTTTATTAATGGAATTGTCAAAAATAAGGTAATTTAAGTGTTGCCTATAGTATAACTTAACTTATGCTTCATAAAGTTACCAATTTAAATCTAATTAGGCTATTTGAAATGGGGACGCCATGATGTGTATTTTTAAACCCAAAAATGAGTAAAATATGAGTGTGGAATGATGTTAGATGATCTTTGTAGCTTTGTTACTGACTAAGGTCAGCTGATTCAATAGTCACTGACCATTTATTCATATTGATCGGGAACAGCTGGGTCCGGTTTCAAACCTTCAAAAAGCTACTGACTTTTCTCAGGATTGAATCAGCGACCTTTTGATTTCTGGACGAGCACATAGGTAGATCTTTCTAAGCAGGCACACTTGTAACTTAACTTAGATTCGTTGAACAAATTACCTACTACAGTTGGCTTATTTATCAAATAACTAAGTTATACTGGAGGCTTTATTTATTTAAGTTAATAAGTTAATCGAATCTAGGCATATGATAGGCCTATATATAACAGAGAAGTAAGGTAAGTTAGGTAGGTTACCCAAGGCAACACTAAATTTAAACAGGCTGTAATGCTCCTCAGGCATGATGTCATCATAGGCGACGGCAATGTCGTAATGTTATTGGTTGTATTTTTGTTTTCCAAGAAAAGATTAAAACAAGCAGCTGATCTCAAACGGCAAACATTATGTCATTGCCTACGATGACGTCATTTCAAAAGAAGATTACGGCCTGTTTATTTAGTGTTGCCTTGGTGTAACAACCTGTTATGGGACAACTGTGCGCTTTCAACTCCCTGGTATGTTGTGCCAGTAATATACTTGTAGTAATAGCGAGGAAGAGCCTGAACGGCAAGCACTGTGCGGAAATTCCTATCGCTCAGGGCGCGGCGTCTTCTTCCACCGTGACTGTTGTAGTTTACGAGAGCGAGGGGGGTGGTACCCTTAGGCTTTACCCTTAACACCGACCAGCACTAAGCTGGTGCTAGACACCATTTAAGGGTAGCATGTTTTCTTTGTAGGTAGGTACCGTCCTTCTCTGTGGTTATATTCTAAAATCCCAACTCTAGTGAACATTCATTTCCAGGATTCTCCCTCATCTGATATAGGCCTAGCTTAGCCTACTTAGGATTATAGTGTTCTGTATTAATTTATTATTAAATTCAACCTAAGGAAATCTTTGGATATTTGTATCGAACATAACAATAGAAACAGTCAAAAAAGAAGACAACAACTAGAAGCCAAAGATTTTGATTTTTAAAGCCTCACTTGTTATTAGGACAGCTACACACTTAATTTTTAAGCTCTTATTATGTTTAAGCTTTATTTATGTTTATTATGTCCAAGCTTTATTTTTGAGCTTGTTATGAATGCAGTAAAATGTATAGAATGAAATCTAGTATATATAGATCATACAAGATTGTAAACTTATCCTCTATTTTGTGGATTTTTAAGACATCTATTTGAGTACGATGGGTCTAAAGAGAAGATGGGAGACAGTGAGCTAAGCAATGAAATCACCAAAGGAGTTGTTGAACAGATTAATCGTGTTCTTACTGCCAACCTCGCAAGTGGAGCACCTCACCTCTACCACACCGAGGTACAGTAGGGCTACAGTCTATTTTAAATATAAGTTACAGTAGAACTCCAGATCAATTGGGAACAGAGCCCATTTGTAAATCTGAATGATTGGATTAAAAATTAAAAAAAGTGGGCATTAGGAAGATGGCTCATCACTCACAGATCAATATGCCAAACTACGTTTTTTATCCTTAATCTTAAAGTGATCTAGATTATTGGCAATCCAAATGATTGTAGTTTGCATAATTGGCGTTCTTACTGTATGTTTGGTTTGTCATTACATTTCATTTTAATCACATTTTATGTTTTTATGGGCACATAGATCTGTGATAAGATTGAACCATAACATATTAGGCCTATTTTAAAAACATGTAAAGCTCAATATTTATTTTCTGTTTTGAGTTAATCACTACGGTATGTCACTGTTTACCTAATCAGTTTGTTGTGAACATTCCTGTGTAACTTACAGCATTGAGGTAACAGTTAAGTAAATTACTCTGCCTCTCTCGTATCACTTTTCTACTGTAATTGAAATGTTTGTTACTTTTCTCCATGCATAGGCCTATGTGCAAAATATAGGCTACCGTTATTTCTATACATTATTCTTATAATACATATTCTTACATGAATTCTTAAATTGTTTCAGGTCGACTTTGAACCGCGAATCGAAGCATTTTGGAGGGTAGGAGGGTTCTATCCTGACAATGAAACCTACAAGAAGCGTGTTAAAGATAAGGAAGATTATGAAAAAGAGTTGGAAAAGAATCGACATGCCAAGAGAAAAAATGAAGAAGATCCCGATGATCTGGTAGGGCATTTTATACAATATATCGGAACTCCGGTGCTGCAATTGAGGCATCCGCAGCCCTTGAGGTTGTTGGAATGGCAATCATCTGAGACAGCGATCAGTGAGTTTGACCTACAGCATGTACCTTCCCTACGATATGACCCTGGCTTTTATGGACTGGAGAAAATCAGGAGACACGGAACCAACATTCCAGGTAGATTCATCTAGCTTAGTGTTGGAAACAATAGCCTTAGAGCGAATATGGAAATGTTGCCGGATATTAGGGATGGACGTGATTGAATTTTTAGTTTGAAACGGGATTTCGCTTCATACTTAACGGGAAATGCACGTGTGCCGTTTTAACCTGATTTTGTAACATTGTTAAATACCTACTGATTGATGACAGATGACTAGTTAAATACAAAAATAATAATAATAGGCAAGAATATTTAAAATCTTTATCAAACAACATTAATAAAACATCAGTAAGTTATAAAAATATATTAATTAGGCATACCTAGCTGTTCTGGATTACATTAAGAAATAATCGACTACTTTATTCCCGTACGTAGGACGGGCCAACAGCTAGTACCTTATTAAAAATGACTCTTACGCATAGGTTAATATTTGTTAGGATAGTTCAACTTTGAAAAATACCATATTTATCAACTAGTTAATTACTGTACCAAGTAACAATTTTTCAGTCTTGTGTTATTTTTAGAATGATTTTGGAGTAACTAGTTTTGGCTATGTTTACAGTAGTAAAACATGTCTCACACTGCTTACACTTAACAAAATTTCTCATAATTTGCAATGTTAAAACACTAAATTTTAACACAATTAAAGCAATATTTATTTACATGTAAAGAATTAATTAAATAAGAACGCCTTCGCAAAGGAAACGCAACAACACGCTCCTGATTGCGGGTATTGTATTGACTTTCTGCAGGCATTTTTAATCGGGTTTAAATATATAATATTATCTAGAAAAAATGTTGATAAAAAATAAAATCTCTTCTCTTAGAGCAAGATTTTAAATTTCCTGAAAATTTCTCGAAATTTCTAGACTCGCCCATCCCTACTGGACATTGTTCACAGGTGCTACGGCTGGTCTCCTTACTGCTGTTCAACTGAACTCACATTTGGGATCCCAGCAACAAGTATTTTTCATTAATATATTACTAATAAAGTTAAGCAACGAAATATTCTGGTTTCGTTTCTCCAAACATTTTTGTTAGTTTGATAACAAATTAACACAAATCGGTCAACTTTTACATATTTTATTGCTGTACAAAAAAGTGTAAATGTTGATGGATCAGTGTGGAGATTGGTTTGAAATGAACATAAACATGTAGAGAAACCACCAAATCACACTGTTTTATTTGTAGGCTTAACAGGCATACGATTATTTGTCACTATTGGGCACACTAATTCCCTTAGGTGTGACTGAGTCAAATTGAGCAGTAGAGGAAGAAGCATACCCTGCCGCACCACACCATGAACAATATTCAGCTCAGGATACAGGCCCAACCCTTAGGCCCACGGCTATAAATGTACCATTTTCTAATGTTAAAGTGCTTTTAGGTCTTAAATGAAAATGCTGTGTCATAAAAAATCAATAATGTTATCATTAATTTTGGTCTTAGTTCTTCTTAGTAGCCTACCACTATAAAACAAAATTGTTTCAAAATACTGTAGTTTAAAAAACCTACTATAACCTGATCTAAACTGTAGGGCGCAACTGGACTGCAGGACTTATTCCCTGAAGGCCTAGTACATAGTCCAACCAATGGCTATTTTATATGTGATAGTCTCATGACCCACTGGCTCAAAATCCAGTAGTCTGTAAAATTATAACCATTTCTGGGAATTGGATATCTCGTCCACCAAAAAGTCATACACTACACTGTACAACAATTAATTCAAATTCAATCTTTTGAAAACCCACTTGGAGCTGACCCCCCTAACTAGATAATCAACAAAAAATTTTTTTAGGCCTACTTTGTTAGGTGAGGAAAATTGAATCTAGGTTTCCAAACTCATTGGATATTTTCCTCCATCAAAAAGCCTTACAATTACTGTATAGCCTAACTATGCAAATTAAATGTTATTAATTACTTTAGTTGAAACCAGGTCAAGTTGTTGGTTTTTAATTACAATGTAATAATCAAATGTGTTTTCTGAGTGCCAAATTGATACGTTAAAATAAAGTAGGAATCCCCTTCCTAAATCTCTAAACAACTCAACTTGTTTCTGTACTGGTACCTGAAACATAAGGCACTGATAATAATGTATGGATTTATGTTAGGTTTTTGGCCCGGGGACCCTTGTGAGTTTGGATTGTTGTCGTTCCACAATCGGGGCCATCTGCTCGGCCGACCGCCCAGCTTTGGGGAGGAAGACGTAGATCACACAGTCCACGCCCAGGCTATGTTGGCTGGGTATGCTTGGATGCTTGCGCAGGCTGCTTATCAAGGTAGGTGGGAGAGAGACAAATAGATACATCTTGGTCAGATGGTTTATTATCTTTTTAGATTGTTAAATACAGTACCTACCAAACAATTCACAAAACACAATTTCATACAGTATTTGAAAACTTTCTTCATCTGACTTAGGTATCTTGATATTCAGCCACATAACATGAAAAACCAAGTGTTTTTGTGTGTTTTGTTGTAGATAATAGCCTACTATTGTTTATTGCTGTTAACTGCAATAGTCTGAAATGGTTCAAACCGATAGGCTAATACAATCTGAATCTAATTTGACTAGGCCCTACAACTAGGGCTTACAGTAAGAATATTCATCCTTTTACAGTGTCTGGACCAAATTCTATTAGAACATGAAGCAAGGTCGCACCAGGTATATCTAGTGCGGCTTTGCATGAAGGCAACTAGGCATATAGGGTTTTTGTTTGTCCTAATTCTCAAATTTGCATCCCTACAAGATAAGCTGTATAGGTAACTGTATAGCCCTAGAACTTACATGGCAAAAAATATTTTATGTTGTATTTTAGGTGTAGGCTAGCCTATATATTTTTTTACTTTTTGGCCTAGATTTTGTAACTCAGAATGATTTGTGTGTGTGTTTTTTTTAAATATTTTAGAATGCTGAGTTTATTAATAGAGTAATATACTTTTCTGATATGAAACATAGCTTTTATTTTTTATTGCTGTAGCTAACCTAATAATTTAAATCAGGCTGATCAACACAAAAACACCTTGATTAACCAATTTAGTAATTCCACTATTGAGCTGCAAAGTAAATTTGTCCTAACAACGCTTGAAAAACACTACTATAATCATAAATATTGATGTATTGGGTTTTCATTTTCATATTGCTTGTTTGGACAAAAGCTAGGGTCGTTTCTGCTAAATTGAGTGACTGTTGCAATTTGAATGATTCCAAAGTAGTCTATTAAAGTTGCCACTACAACTAGCACATGGAAGATTTGGTGGCTTTGAAATAAGATGTCACATTTCCCTGGGAAGATCCTTTCAGGAACTCTAGTGGCATAAAAAACCGCTCCAAGTATGTAGAGGAAAGCAGAAAGGAGCAACGGTGCTGCAAAACTAATTAAAGTCTCCACTCCGTTCAGCACTATGAAATGTAAACCAGGAATCACTCCACTGAGGCCTAAGGCAACAAACACTGTCGCTCGGATTGTACGGTACACTGGGGTGATGAATCTCGGAGAGAGGGAGAGAACAACAGTAACGGTGCCGAGTGCGAGGGCAGCAGCAATATAGAGAAGCCTGAGTCGACTGTCACACAGAAAGGCGTAGTAAACCCAAGGGACGAAGGAACCGATGATGAGTAAAGTTATTCCGCAGTAATCCAGATGATTGAACATGGACGAGACTGATTGTGAGTGACACATCAGAGTGTGATAGGACGATGAGAAACCAAGGCAGAGAATGGCACCGATAAAGAAAGGTGACAGTACTAACTTGTCTTCTAGTGGAAGAGAACTCAGTGACACGTGGAGGAATAAACTAAGGAAAAGTACACATCCAAACACATGAGTCCAAATATTTCCCGATTCTGTGTGAATTCGAAAAATTGAGAGGAAACACGCCCAGAATGATGGCAACGAAGGTCTGTAGCCTTTGAGAATAAAATAGTTGTCTTGCCGCCACTTGGGTAAACTCCAGTAGTCGCAAGTCTTCCAAGTGTAGTGCTTGGTCCTCAGGCTGTCACTGGCTTTGTCTTCAGATTGTTTGGCATCAGTGTCAACATCCACTGTATTAACCATTCTTTTTCGTAAAGTGTCACTTTTTTGTGTTGATTTTTCCTCTTGATAAGAGCTTGAAGAGTTTATAGACTTTGTTTTGTCTAGTTCGAAATGTTCCTCTTCCATGAGACATTGAATGGTTGACACAGTCCTATTTAGCTTAGTTTCAAGCTCATCCAATGCATTTCGGAGTGTCCACAATTTGCCTGCAACATTTTCTAAGTTATTTTCAAATATACTTTTATCTTTTATGTCCATTTTGAATTAAGATAGGAATAAAAACAATAATTTTATATCATTGATAACTTTGCTTGGTAACTTTGTACTAGTAGAACTAAGTTAGTATTGTCGTCTATTACTCATCTTGAATAAAATGATAAAATTCACCATCACTAAAATAGCTGTCAGGATTTATTGGCAAGATTATCATTCAGAACTGGTAGTTTTCAGAAGGAGTTTAGCCTACTATATAAATATTTTCCCAACTCATTAAACTGACAGTCAAAAAACATAAACCAGAATAAAGTTTTCATAATGCAAAATAAATAATATTGATCACCTGTATAAATGACATATGTTTTATTATTGTTTGCAGACTTTAGTTGTTGTATTAATAGTCAAAGCTTTAACATTGATTTTAAACACTGACTATATTCTTGTGCTCAAATTGTTACTCTGTGATTTTTTAAATAGAAAATACATTTACCAACATTTTGATTGACCATTTATAGAATTAAATATTTAATATACAATTTGTCTTTTGAATTCCTTTAATGGCCCTGGACAGTTATGTTAATGTTCCAAATGTTATACTTCCAATGGAGTTAAAATTCAAACTCCACTTTTAAAACGGATTATTTGAAAAAAATGTAAATTCTATTTTGATTAAACTTGGCAAATTTATTTATTTTATACTAAGATATTAATATTTTACAAAAAAAATCACTTTACTACTCTCCCTGTAGCAGCAAACCTAGGAACTTGTTAAACCTAATGTTATTTATAGATTTAATTGAAAATCCAATCAGGTAAATGGAAATTAGCTTAGTCTGCAGGTTTGCTGCGGCGAGGATATTAACTAAATAAAAAATGGTTTAACTTATAATATGAACTGAGCTGCCAAAATTAGTAAGGCTGCTTCTAATAGTGTTAGAATGAACTTCCGATTTCATATTTGGAGGAAGCTCATTAAAACGTTTCTTTCCAGGTTCATTCTAACGTTTCATTCTTTTTTTGTATGAGGGTGATTTTTATACTAATTTGAGATATTGTTTTGGGTACAGAAAATTATTTTTGAATCTTGTATTATTTATAGTTTAAATGTTGGCTGTGTAAAAAGACATATTTATACTGAACAGTTAGAAGAGTTTTTAAAATAATTAAGCTGGGGACTGTCATTAATTTTAAAATTTTCAATATAGGCTTGCATGAAAATCAGCATGACTTAAATGTAATGATGATTCTTGGAATCTTTTTTCTTTTTGTACCTTCAAGATTCTATGTCTGATGCAAACCATCAAAAAATGCATAGTATCACATAAACTAAAGATTGATATAGTTTTGATGAAAAAAAAAAACAGTTAGTTTATGACCAAGTTTACAGAGTAGTATTCAACTATTCATGGGTGATTACGAAATATGACGATAGAAATGTAAAAAAGCTTATAGGTATATACAAATCACTGATAATAGTGATAATTCAAGTAAATACTGTAAGTTGTTGTAAATTCATGTTGAAAGTAACAGTGAAATCATAAACTTTATAATAAAAAGTGTGGTAATAAATAAGTCAATGATGCTAAATTTTGAGTACAGAAAGTTTTTTAAATTGGTGTAGTACTTACCTTGGTCTAATCTCTTGTGAGATGTGTGTGTTATCAAACAAAGTGAGAGTGAGGTGTGCAAGAGACTGAGTCAGTATCACAACAAGGAATGGCCTTGAGATCAGCCAGTGAAAAACTCACTTAATTGTTGTCTATCATTGTTTATTTTTTATCCTTGACCTTGTATATTCAAGTAGGCTTACTCTTCTCTTTTTAATTTAAATCATGCAAACTAATTTTCTCCTGCTCACAAGTCATTGTTATTAAATAACAAACCACAACATTTTTATGGTTTGCTAATTATCCTGAACTTAGTTTTTACTCCCATGTGTGAAAGTAAAGCCAACGGCTATCTACTTTTGTGATTTGTAAAAAATTGAATTAAATATTATTATTTACCCTAGATGGAAAAAAGGTGCAATATTAATTACAATAATTGTAATTGTTAAATTTGTATCTGCTCTTATCCTTTAAAAGCAATTTAAAGGCCAAACAACTGTATAAACCAAGGTGATTAAATAAAAAGTGTACTGACCTATTCTACAAAAGGTTGAAGCCCCCAGTCAGTGTCTGAAGCTAGGTTAAGTTATTGTAGGCACTTTATTTAAGCGCTCTGTACAAAACTAGAGTTTCTGGGTGAATGTCAAGTCTAATTTGGCAGTGATCCAGACTTCTTTGACAGATACAGAACTGTTAAACACACTGAGAATTTCTTAGTTTCTGTACTGTACAACTGATATTTTTATGAAGTGTAATCAATCAACACCAGCAGTTGTAAATATATTTTGCAATAAAACTTAACTTACTATTTTGGGATACAAAAAATAGTCATTATGTAGTCAGACAAAATTTTTTTATCATAACCAGGATATTGTTCAGTGTAGGCAAGTCATACAATATAACCAACTAAAACATCTTTTAGCGAATTTCCCATATAGGGAATAAGCTATTACCGTAGTACTCATGGTAAGACCTGGACCCGGGACCGATTTAATTTTTCATTTTGAGGTCCCTAGAGGCCAAAAACCCGTCCTTCGTACGGGGTTGGCATATAAGTATAAAATGCTTATTGCAGTTATAATCAAGCTTTGCGTTTGCAATGGGGGGAGGACACAGTTTGATAAAATTTGGTTCATAAATTTACGGTATGATATAGTATAACACGTCTACCATTGCCATAATGTTCTACCATTGCACCTAAACAATAGAAAAAAATAAATTATCAAACATTCGCACAATATCACAAATTATTCATTAAATGAAAAACTCAAACCTAACTGTAAAGAATCCTACTTTGACAGTTCTCATTGTGTTGTGTTGTGACAGCTTTTTGTTGCTGCTTAGTTCAAAATGGTTCATATTAGCTGTTGTCATATATGCACAAACAAAATAAAAATAGTGCTGCACCCTGTTAAAAACCTTATAACTTTTTAATGCTATCTATATAATTAATACGCTACATGAAACTTTGTCGGTTGAACTCCTCCGCCATTTCTTAAACGATTTTATCCATTGACATCTCATTGAAATGAGCGTGTCGTGTAGATTTGCAAACTGGCCTTACATTTTTGAAAAAGTCCCTTGGGCTCTGCCCCAGTGGCTTTGAAAGTTCCCATGTTATCCTTATGGAGAACATAATTGTTTACATTTTGATCAGATGTATAATTTAATTGCTGTTATTTATTTTACCTAACCCGCCATGTTAAACTTCCCTATCCCAAGCGTGATGTATATAACTTCGTTACTTCTCGAGTGATGTAAAGTTAAAAAAAACTCACTCGGTGATGTAATGAAACCCATTTAAATAACATTGAGTGCTTAACCCTTTGAGTGCCAACGTCCGGGGAACCGGACGTTTTTAAAACGAGCCAAAAGTGCCAACGTCCGGCCGACCGGACGTTTTTAGAACGAGCCAAAAGTGCCAACGTCCGGTTGACCGGACGTTTCGTAATGATCGAACAGCTGTCATAACAACCGAATAAATACTCGGATTCTTTTAACCCATATATTAACATTGAGTCGAAAGTTGCTAGATGCGATACATCGATTTTCGTTGGTCGAAATATCGAAAATTCGATTTTTACGAAATTTTAACCTAAAAATCGCCAGATCGCGCTCGGCATTTTTAGCGCGACCTTCGGGAAAAATCATCGGCATTTTTTGAGCGTTACTTTTATTTCTCGCCTGGCACTCTAAGGGTTAACTTAAAAAATATACCTCTATGGAGCCAACGACGTTCAACGCTAGAAATCAGCTGTGCGCTGGAATTTTATTGTTATGTTTTGAAGAATTTTCCTACCCTAGCTTTTGTTTGTAAATGAACGTTACCGTTACTGTTAGAAGATGAGTGAAATGGATAATGAAAAATATTGTTCGTAACCTCCTGTATATTGTCGGGTCAGGTAAAATCTTGTACGTTACGCGTTACGCAAGAGCGTGTTTACATCACTTCGGTAAATTATGCAACTCGCTTCCGCTTGTTGCACAACATTCACCTGCGTGATGTAAAAACGCTCTTACTACACTTGTAAGGTAAATAGCTATTTCAATTCAATGAAACGCATTGAGTACATTTATTTACTATTCGAGTTTGAGTTAACATAACCCCAAGACGAATCGTGTTAGTATGGTTGTATCTAAAATTGGTGTATTTATCGTTGTTTTGTGTTGCTATGACGGATCGTGTTAGCATGATTCTAATTTAAATTTGTGCATTCATTGTTGTTTTGTGTACCTATAATTTGTTTATTTGTTGTTTTTTCCTTTTAAATGCCTCCAACGCGACGAAAACGAAACATAGAAAAATGAAACATAGACAGGAGGCGTAATCGTGATAACGACCGCAGCAGAACAGTGGCGCGTAATAGGCTTAACTCATCACAGTCAGCACCTGACCCTGGACAATCTCAACTATTAGGTTACAAATGCGCCATAACACTACCCCAAAACGACATTTCGTTCTCAATTGGCCCTCTATCAATGACCTGTGTTGCCTGTGTCATGTAATTACTACTTTATTATATATTTTATTTAACATGACAAAAGATATTGTCAAAATAACTAATTTATTATTAGTAAGCAAGAAAGAATATTTAATTTAATTTCTTATAATACCAAGTTGGTATAGTCAGGATAATTTCATTTTTTAAGTTGTCAGTCATGTAAATGCAAGCAGTCCAAAATTCATTCAGTACAGTTCAATCTCTCTCTCACTTTAACTGTGCTACTACAACCATGTTGATGCCAGTAAGCATCAGATCAATTCATAGTGAAAATTAATATCAAGTGCAGTGCAAGATACATATAAAATAGCATAACAAGATATATTTAACTAAATTGCCAGTATGCAATATAAAGAGGACCACAAAAAGGGGCCCCTGGACAATAAATTTTTAAATGGAAAATACATGAAGAGGATTAGGCCTAGTGAAAACCAATGCAACATCAAGGTAACAAACATCAGTTAATATTTATACAGTCCACTTATAAACTCTTTCTTTTTGTATATGGTTATTACAGCCAAAACATAACATTTTTGGTACTTTCGAAACCGGATTTTCAGTGTTCAGTCCATGGAATAGTAATGTAAAACATGTGCTTTTCTCCTTTCAATCTCAAACATGAAAGTTTTCATGTCGATTTTCATGTCAAGTTTTGCAAGTGACTTGTGTTCAAGATTTAAGTTGTGATTTAAAACTGAGTTCCAGTGTGAATAAATAGTGACTAACTTTTAATTATATTCATTTCATTTCACTAGCCTACATTAATAGACATTTATTTGAGCCATTGTGTCTCAACTTTATTCAAATTGATGAGTCAACTCATTAAACGACTGCTTGCATATTTTTTAGACATTGACTACAAACTAGCCTATTTTATATACCTCTTTTGAGAAAATACAAGTAATACCTATTCAAAGCCTTAGTAACAACAAACATAAGTTATATAGCTGTTGGAATATAAACTCAAGTTGCCTAGCCTAACTACAACTGAGAAAAAAGAGAACGGAAGTATTGTATAATCTGAGTTAATCAATTTGATTGAATCTATACCCTATAGCCTATTAAGTTGAGAGGTTTTTATATTTTATTTTGTGATTTATATTCAGCTGAATTGATTATCTTGTAAACCAATTTTATAGTTAGGCTAAGTAGGCCTACACAGTTATGCTGACAGGTTCACAGTTGTAGATGTTCTCTTCTTCATAGGCCTAGCCTATTCACAACTCAATTGATTCTTTTGAAGAGTTTTATTTATGTTTTACTGGCTCCATAGTTAGTTACTGTAAGCCTATTATGTTTTACTAATTGTTAGGCTAACTTAAGGTTTTTTGCTGAATTTTAGACTACATTAAGTCTGTGAAATAGGCTTATTGAATTAATAAGTAGGTAGGCCTAAACTTGTGCACTTCATGAACTAACTTACTCATCATGCCTCCATTGCGGTATACTACATTTCGCAAGCAAGCGGAACTCACTAAGGCTCGTCTATCTCAGCTCGACACTCAAGTCACTGCGCTTCATACAATAGGCCCTGATAATCTTTCAGATGTTCAGATTGAAAAAATTAAGGTTATTAAAACAACTGCTAATAAGAAAAATACTGAATTTGAGGCAATGCTCAACAAACTATTCAATTCGGATCCACTATCTGAAGACATTGATGATGATGAGGTCATTAAACTTCAAGAAAATATCAATGATTTGTATTTGAAAATTCTTAGCGTTTGCGCTGCACTCACTCCGGTTATTGAGCCTAAACTCGATCAGTCTCATTCGAGTAGCATAGGTCCAACCTCACATGACTCTGGAGGTTGTGGTGTTCGGTTACCGAGACTTGCTCTCGGAACCTTTTCAGGTCAACCCGAAAAATGGATTGCTTTCCATAACATTTTTGAAAACTCAGTGCACAAAAATAGTAGCATTACAGAGGTTGAAAAGTTCACTTATCTTTTGTCCTGTCTTAGCGGAGAGCCTTTAAACTTAGTCAAAAGTCTACCTATCACGACTGCCAACTACCATATTGCTTGGCAGCAACTCATGCAACGTTATAACAATTCTAGATTACTCATCACAATTCATGTTAACAACATCTTGGATATGCCGCCAATGCATGGCTGTTCTGTTAAACAACTTAGATCGTTTGCTTCAACATTTCAAGAAAATGTTAATGCGCTTCGTGCTCTGAATCATGACATATGTACGGAAAGCTTGTTTTTGACTCTGCATCTTTTGCGTAAATTCGACCATGATTTTAGAAAAAGGTTCGAGCATAGCCGAAATGAACCGCAACAGGTTCCTTCAATCAAGGAATTTCTGGATTTCATCGAAAAGGAATGTACTCAGCTGGAAGCAGCAAACTTGACCCAAACTTCAGTCAAAAGTGTTTCTGCATATCCCAAGCCTAATTCTAGGCTAAAACCGCCCACTTCCTATCAGGCAACTTCTTCACAGGCTAAAACTGTTCTATTCTCTGCAAACGTTCAGACTTGTAATCATTGCCGTAAAAATGGCCACTTGATATTTAAATGTGATGACTTCCTAGGCCTTACCCCTGAAAAACGATTGACTGCTGCTAGAAATAGCTCATTATGCAATAACTGTTTAAGTAAAGACCATAGCATAAGAAACTGTGC